GCCAGTAATTCGCTATGCTAGACTGTCAGGCGATCTAGAGAATGTCGTCGACACAACGTCCTGATTGCACTACGCTAGTAGTTCGCTATGCTAGACTGTCAGGCGATCTAGAGAATGTCGTCGACACAACGTCCTGATTGCACTACCCTAGTAGTTCGCTATGCTAGACTGTCGGGCGATCTAGTGGATGGCGTCGACACAACGTCCTGGTTGCACTACGCCAGTAGTTCGCTATGCTAGACTGTCAGCCGATCTAGAGGATGTCGTCGACACAACGTCCTTAGTGCACTACGCCAGTAGTTCGCTATGCTAGACTGTCGGACGATCTAGAGGATGTCGTCGACACAACGTCCTGATGGCACTACGCTAGTAGTTCGCTATGCTAGACTGTCGGGCGATCTAGAGGATGTCGTCGACAAAACGTCCTGGTTGCACTGCGCCAGAAGTTCGCTATGCTAGACTGTCGGGCGATCTAGCGGATGTCGTCGACACAACGTCCTGATTGCACTACCCTAGTAGTTCGCTATGCTAGACTGTCGGGCGATCTAGCGGATGTCGTCGACACAACGTCCTGGTTGCACTCCGCCAGTAGTTCGCTATGCTAGACTGTCGGGAGATCTAGAGGATGTCGTCGCCACAACGTCCTTATTGCACTACGCCAGTAGTTCGCTATGCTAGACTGTCAGGCGATCTAGAAGATGTCGTCGACACAACGTCCTGATTGTACTACGCCAGTAATTCGCTACGCTAGACTGTCAGGCGATCTAGAGGATGTCGTCGCCACAACGTCCTTATTGCACTACGCCAGTAGTTCGCTATGCTAGACTGTCGGACGATCTAGAGGATGTCGTCGACACAACGTCCTTATTGCACTACGCCAGTAGTTCGCTATGCTAGACTGTCAGGCGATCTAGAGAATGTCGTCGACACAACGTCCTGATTGCACTACGCCAGTAATTCGCTATGTTAAACTGTCAGGCGATCTAGAGGATGTCGTCGACACCACGTCCTGGTTGCACTGCGCCAGTAGTTCGCTATGCTAGACTGTCTGGCGATCTAGAGGATGTCGTCGACACAACGTACTGGTTGCACTGCGCCAGTAGTTCGCTATGCTAGACTGTCGGGCGATCTAGTGGATGGCGTCGACACAACGTCCTGGTTGCACTGCGCCAGTAGTTCGCTATGCTAGACTGTCTGGCGATCTAGAGGATGTCGTCGACACAACGTACTGGTTGCACTGCGCCAGTAGTTCGCTATGCTAGACTGTCTGGCGATCTAGAGGATGTCGTCGACACAACGTCATGATTGCACTACGCCAGTAGTTCGCTATGCTAGACTGTCGGACGATCTAGAGGATGTCGTCGACACAACGTCCTGATTGCACTACGCCAGTAATTCGCTATGTTAAACTGTCAGGCGATCTAGAGGATGTCGTCGACACAACGTGTCCATGTCTTCTGCCATTTGGCTGCTTTTTGATCCATTTAGCGATAGGAGAGTCAACAACATGCAGCTCTGGTATATTTTCTTTGGTGCTGAACGTGCTTCTTTGTATAAGGAACTAACTTTCAAACTTCTCGAAACTTTCAAACTCCTGAAAAACTTCTGGCCTTTTTCCAAGACTGGTGTCAGGGCCAGAGGAAACTCGGGCTACTATTATCCTTGCTAGTATATATTGCATTCGTCTGGTAGTAAACCATTTCGGAAACCGTGATTTAATTGCGGGACTTTTACGAGAAATACAAAGATGAAATAAACAAAATACAATCAGCAAACGGCTTGTTCTGTAAAAATGACATTCGAACCCTGAACTTCAGACTGCTACACTTTCGCTCTAACTGATTGAAAATCCATCAGGGTATAAAGAGTATTTTTCTCTCATTCCAACTACAAGAATAAGCTCATAAACCATAAAAATGCGTTTGAAAATATCAATTTTCCCCTGAGCTGTTTTGATGAAAACGAATTCGTCAGCGATATCTAGCATACCCCATATTTGCAAAGAGAATTTGTGCAGAAAAAATAATCTCATCTGTCTAACGTGTACGGGTAAATATACCGTAAAAGGTTTTAACTTCATGTTGCCTTTTCCGCATTGCAGCATCGGTGTTTTCCAAATAAGTGACGTCACGTCACGTGAAATGGGGTGTAAGATAGAAATTTCCTACCCCTTTTTTTTTTTCAAAAGTATTTTATTGACAAGACATATATAATACAAACATATAAGTTAGCATTAAAGAAGATATTAGAACAGTATTGACAAAAGAATAAGACAACAGGCTTTGCCTATATCAGTCTTCTTCTAATTCCGGTAGCTATGTACAATGCTTAAATGTATAAAATGTTGTGATTCGTTTCCTCTCACACTCATGTACACCCTCACCCACACCAGCTTATGTCTAATACTCGTTATTTAAGGGATAAAACTTGCCTGAATAACAATAATTATAACAATACATGAATATTCATTTGGAAATTTATCTAGCACGTATAAGTAACGAAACGTTTTGATGATTTAATATAAGAGTCAACATGTATAAGAATAGTTTTATTCAATTGGTCAGATGCATTACTAATACCATATAATATGGTCTTGTAACGTACCAAAGTTAAGACAGGGACGTATATTTGTAGGTGAGTGTCAGTAATATCAGAGGCAATGGTGGTAAAGAACCCCTTTCTTACCCTGAACAGCTCTATCTTACACACACGGAAATGAGAGAAATACTTTCTTCTCAGCACTACATCTACGGCATGTTTTCTTTTCTCTTGTTCCTAGTTTTGCTGAGTATAGAAAATAACGTAATCTCTCACCGGTTGTTAATCACTCAGTGAATTCTCATTTATTACATCATATGAATGAATTCCTACCCCTAGATACCATACAGAGTGATTCTAGAACGATCCTGCTAGTATCTGACAAACCATGAACAGTTCGGCTGGGATGATTTTTCCTAGAAGGAACGCCAGTGATGACGTTTGAGACTCCGGTGCCATGTAGTTTTCAGTTTGCTCTCCTAATGGTAGTCTAGCTGTTGAGGACTTCCCTGAAGCGATCGTTACAGGGAATTGTGATGCAAAGGTACTGTAGTCCAGTGGTAGGACGCCGGGCTCGTGGGTTCGCGCTACGGCACGGCAATGTGTTGTATCTTTGAGCAAGATACTTTACTCCGCTTGTTCCAGTCTACTCAGCTGTAAATGAGTATGTGGTTGGGCAGTGCTAGAATTGTCGAATACTAGCTGTTAACGCCGAAATGGTAGCTCCGGCTGTATGCTTCCCAGGGAGTTGAGAAAGGTATTGGCTGGTTGCAAAGGCCCTATAACCACAGATAATAATTTGTGAACCGCTTTGAGACGACCTAGGAACTAGGTTGCGATAAATCGGTATATAATCTCCAATTATTATTATTATTATTACTAGTATTCTTTCCCCTCAGTCAACTACTATGCTATACAAGTAGACACATGGGTGTGAATTGCTTTATTTTATCTATTTATACAAATAAAAGCTACTCGTGCCCCTGTGTAAGGAGGGACCGCTCTATTCCTTTCCTTATAATAAAATTATTGATCGTGATCACGTCCTTAGTACTGTACAGCAAGAGGCTGTCGTCGGTCCATCTGCTTCACTCATCACTATGATGTACATGTTGTAGCGCCTCGTCTGCCAGTTTTCCTGCTTCATATACACAATACATGTATTCTACTGAAACAAAGGATCATGGCATCGTGCCTGAAACAAGATGTACAATGTGCTACGACAGAAACGGGTTGTTGGAGTCAAACTGCCTTTTCTAAATTGTGGTTTATGTCCCTTTAATATTTATTTGACCACAAGTCTGTCAATACACCCATAATTGTATTATGGGTGTATTGGCAGACGAGGCTAGTACCTGTGATAATTATGGGTGTATTGACAGACGAGGCTAGTACCTGTGATAATTATGGGTGTATTGACAGACGAGGCTAGTACCTGTGATAATTATGGGTGTATTGACAGACGAGGCTAGTACCTGTGATAATTATGGGTGTATTGACAGACGAGGCTAGTACCTGTGATAATTATGGGTGTATTGACAGACGAGGCTAGTACCTGTGATAATTATGGGTGTATTGACAGACGAGGCTAGTACCTGTGATAATTATGGGTGTATTGACAGACGAGGCTAGTACCTGTGATAATTATGGGTGTATTGACAGACGAGGCTAGTACCTGTGATAATTATGGGTGTATTGACAGACGAGGCTAGTACCTGTGATAATTATGGGTGTATTGACAGACGAGGCTAGTACCTGTGATAATTATGGGTGTATTGACAGACGAGGCTAGTACCTGTGATAATTATGGGTGTATTGACAGACGAGGCTAGTACCTGTGATAATTATGGGTGTATTGACAGACGAGGCTAGTACCTGTGATAATTATGGGTGTATTGACAGACGAGGCTAGTACCTGTGATAATTATGGGTGTATTGACAGACGAGGCTAGTACCTGTGATAATTATGGGTGTATTGACAGACGAGGCTAGTACCTGTGATAATTATGGGTGTATTGACAGACGAGGCTAGTACCTGTGATAATTATGGGTGTATTGACAGACGAGGCTAGTACCTGTGATAATTATGGGTGTATTGACAGACGAGGCTAGTACCTGTGATAATTATGGGTGTATTGACAGACGAGGCTAGTACCTGTGATAATTATGGGTGTATTGACAGACGAGGCTAGTACCTGTGATAATTATGGGTGTATTGACAGACGAGGCTAGTACCTGTGATAATTATGGGTGTATTGACAGACGAGGCTAGTACCTGTGATAATTATGGGTGTATTGACAGACGAGGCTAGTACCTGTGATAATTATGTGTGTATTGACAGACGAGGCTAGTACCTGTGATATAGGTGTATTGACAGACAAGGCAGTACCTGTCATTTGACCAGGTCAACGTACAGGCCTAGTAGTACAGAACCATGAACACACAACTCCAAGACAAGTCCATCAGTTAAAATGACTTTATTCCTTAATGTCAATGCTCTTCACATCAGTACATGTATTCTTTCTAGAACATTGTGAAAGATGTACTAGTGAAGTTACGATTTCCCTGTGATGTGGTAGAACCCCCAGACTTGCTCAATAGTTAAGTTACATGGAGCGTGGTCCGAGGCTGGATAGGGCTTGTTACATTAGATATAACAGAAATGGGGATGTATAAGGCGACAGTGACAGGCCGAGGAACATTTAATATGGACACATATAGGAGAACTTTTACAGTCTGTTCTGCACACCATCACCTGTCAAAACCAAAACACTGGGACAAGTACATACAGGATTTCAGTTTATAGGGACACATATAGGAGAATGTTAACAACCTAGGGTGAACAAGGAACAATTTAACTGGAGATGAATTCTGCACACCGTCACCTAGAGAACTTTAGAGAATACACTAGGTTCCATAGAAAAATAACCATCAGACCTTGTGGCAGGTCTGATATTATCTTATTTTTGTTAAATCTAAGTTATGAAGGGTTCATTTTAGAAAGTTCAGTATAAAAAACAATAGAGATCGAGATACATGTTTGTATATCTAACGTTGGTTTCTCTATGATTTCATGACTAGCCGAGCCATCGATTTGGCTTGAATGCGTTGGTCTCACAATCTGTTTGGATTCTGGTCCGACACATTAAAAATAACACATTACACACAAAAATATGTACAATTAATGGCATAATTAGATAAATCAGTTATTCTATAATTCTATAAAAAATAATTAATTTCCATAAAATCAGGAAGGTATTGTTTACAATATACTAATTCATTTTATAAAATTGGAACCGGTTAAAATCAACAGCTACATTAACAAGCACTTAATAAAATGCATATCTATAAACCACTAAAAGTTGATAAACATGAAAATCAAGAACAATCACAAATAATTAAATACATTAATAAGGGATAAGTATAATTAACAATAATTCACAGGTAAATGACAAAGAATAGATGTACAATTATTGATATTAATTAACAAGCACTGTTAGTTAATTAAAGCTCATACATCAGTAAGTACATAAAACTACTGAACATCAACTTAATCAAATCATTAGGCTTCTCTTGAAATCCGTACAGAGAAATTGATCCGAAAACTTCATATTAAAGAAAAAGTAACTGTTTGGGAGGATAAATCCAATATGTCACTGTGTAAATACCAAAGAGGGCCTGGGTAAGTGATTTTATATCTAATATGTGTAACTACCATTAACACATGATAGTAAGAGGAATTCAAAATACATTCAGTATTAACATTTTAAATGATCAACAGCAGGCATAGTTTATGTCACCCTGAACCATATGTATAATCATGTCGCTCTGATATGTAAATCAAAGGTTGCTATGTCACCCAACAGGGCTACAACACACCTTTAACAAGATCACACCATTGAATAATTGGTCATATAAACAAATGCTTCTCTTAGAAAGTACACACACATGTATAACATGTATGATGTATTTGTACATGTGTGTAAAATGTCAGTATGGTACAGATACTAAAAAAACACTAACAATTATAAACTTGCCAATTTCTCTATATTCTGAGGGAGACTCCCAATTTTGGACTATAAAATTGAGCATTTTCAACCAGTGAATTTACTAAACTATTCCTAAATTTTAAATTCTAAGATCTGATGAATTCATCTGAAAGAATAGCTCAAAAGATGCTATTTAAAAGTGTCTTTTTATAGACACATACTTTTTCCCCTAGGGTGTATAGATACATACTTTTTCCCCCTAGGGTGTATAGACACATCCTTTTTCCCCCTAGGGAGTATAGACACATACTTTTCCCCCTAGGGTGTATAGACACATCCTTTTTCCCCCTAGGGAGTATAGACCCATACTTTTTCCCTAGGGTGTATAGGCACATACCTTTTTCCCCTAGGGTGTATAGACACATTCTTTTTCCCCTAGGGTGTATAGACGCATACTTTTTCCCCTAGGGTGTATAGACACATACTTTTCCCCTAGGGTGTATAGACACATACTTCTTCCCCTAGGGTGTATAGACACATAATTTTTCCCTAGGGTGTATAGACACATCCTTTTTCCCCCTAGGGTGTATAGACACATACTTCTTCCCCTAGGGTGTATAGACACATACCTTTTTACCCTAGGGTGTATAGACACATACCTTTTTACCCTAGGGTGTATAGACACATACCTTTTTACCCTAGGGTGTATAGACACATACCTTTTTCCCCTACGGTGTATAGACACATACCTTTTTCCCCTAGGGTGGATAGACACATACTTTTTCCCCCTAGGGAGTATAGACCCATACTTTTTCCCTAGGGTGTATAGACACATCCCTTTTTCCCCTAGGGTGTATAGACACATGCTTTTTCCCCTAGGGAGTATAGACACATACTTTTTCCCCTAGGGAGTATAGACACATACTTTTCCCCCTAGGGTGTATAGACACATACATTTTTCCCCTAGGGTGTATAGACACATACTTCTTCCCCTAGGGTGTATAGACACATACTTCTTCCCCTAGGGTGTATAGACACATACTTCTTCCCCTAGGGTGTATAGACACATAATTTTTCCCTAGGGTGTATAGACACATCCTTTTTCCCCCTAGGGAGTATAGACCCATACTTTTTCCCTAGGGTGTATAGGCACATACCTTTTTCCCCTAGGGTGTATAGACACATGCTTTTTCCCTAGGGTGTATAGACACATACTTTTCCCCTAGGGTGTATAGACACATTCTTTTTTCCCCTAGGGTGTATAGACACATGCTTTTTCCCTAGGGTGTATAGACACATCCCTTTTTCCCCTAGGGTGTATAGACACATGCTTTTTCCCCCTAGGGTGTATAGACACATACTTTTTCCCTAGGGTGTATAGACACATACTTTTTCCCCCTAGGGAGTATAGACACATACTTTTTCCCTAGGGTGTATAGACACATACCTTTTTCCCCTAGGGTGTATAGACACATACCTTTTTCCCCTAGGGTGTATAGACACATACTTTTTTCCCCTAGGGTGTATAGACACATACTTTTTTCCCCTAGGGTGTATAGACACATACTTTTTTCCCCTAGGGTGGACAGACACATACTTTTGAGCACATGCAATCTCCCCTGTGGAGAATTTGAAATGTTAGCAAGTATGCAATTGTACCCAGTTCTAGATTGTTTCATGATAATGGGAGTCAGAGTTCCAACCTAATAAACTCCAGGGTTTGAACAATGTCAAATGTAATGTATGTTACACAGGCGTCAAAACATTTATCATTGAAAGACCATGTCCACCTCTTAACAGGTTAGTTTATAACCGGAATAAGCACAAAATCCATACTTGTGCATGAGAACGGTTTCATGAAAAAGAGCCCAGGTTGAGACCAAGTTTGCCTTATCTAGAATAGTACAATATGTAGTAGTGTTTGGGCCATTCACAATAATACAACTTCTCTGCCATGCCTCATCAGTGTTTATCATCTACCTTACAGGTATTCATCTACCTTACAGGTAATCATCTACCTTACAGGTATTCATCTACCTTACAGGTAATCATCTACCTTACAGGTATTCATCTACCTTACAGGTAATCATCTACCTTACAGGTATTCATCTACCTTACAGGTAATCATCTACCTTACAGGTATTCATCTACCTTACAGGTAATCATCTACCTTACAGGTATTCATCTACCTTACAGGTAATCATCTACCTTACAGGTAATCATCTACCTTACAGGTAATCATCTACCTTACAGGTAATCATCACAGGTATTCATCTACCTTACAGGTATTCATCTACCTTACAGGTAATCATTACAGGCAATCATCTACCATCTACATTACATGTATTCATCTACCTTACAGGTAATCATCTACCTTACAGGTATTCATATACCTTACAGGTAATCATCTACCTTACAGGTAATCATCTACCTTACAGGTATTCAAATTACCTGTTTCAGGTAAACAAGTCACTTATAAGGTCACACTTTCCCTGCTTTAGTTTATAACTCACCTGTTAAGTATGCATATCACTTGTGACAGATCACAATTTACCTGCTTCAGTTATTAATTGATTTACTTTAGTCAGGTACTTACATACCCAATATTTAATTCAGCAGAGTCAAATCTCGATTAAGGTAGAAAACTAATCCTCCAAGACTGGCAAAGGCACACCAATTCACAAGTCAAAGTACAAGTATGCAGTATTAGATGTTTCCTCAAGCAGACGGTTTCCGTGGCGACATCCCCAGCCTCATCATCTTCCTATATACACCTGGGCCATTCCAGTATCCACTGAAAAATTATATTATATTGATGTAGTGCTGTATCTAGCTAAAATAAGCCATTCTTATGTATGAAAATTTATAAACAGGACCATATTATCTCATTCATCCCCCACATTTACAAAGTGGACTAGCCCAGTCTTAGATTTGGTAACGTCCAAACAAAGCACAGGTATGGGTTTGTTTGACTTAGTTCTCACTGTACATATTGACACGTGGGCCTTACTTGAGCATGAGTTTCCAGTAGAGTTCGGGCATGATTTTGGCCTTCATTTGGTACATAGACGACCTCTCTTTGCCCTGGTTTACGGGGAACGTCTCCAATGGCTGCGCATCATAGTCAAACTCGGCGAGGATACATTTCCCTCGGCTTGTGACCAACGGACAGGAAGTATAACCGTCATACTGCAGGGAGAAATCATTGCATCAAAATTAGTGCAGGGAGCTATCACTACAATCAAAAGACAACTGTTAAAAACAAATAACCCAAAAACTCAGAATAAAGGAATAATTTTGGCAACAATTTATATCAAATAAGAATCGCTAAGGAGTTGAAAATCACAGCAGGATTTAGTTTAAATATATATTTTCATCCTTTTGTACCAGGTGAAGCTTCATTTAACTGTATAAATGTTGTAATGTTTCACCTACAACTACTAGTGATAATGACTAGTGTAAGGTCCAATCTGACCAGGAGTTGACCATGCACTTACAGTGAACAGTACTGAGCCAAAGGTATGGCCTGCAGTATACTTGGCCACAACAACAGGTAATATACCATACCTGTGCAGTATACTTTACTATAACAACAGGTAATATATCATACTTGTGCAGTATACTTGACTATAACAACAGGTAATATATCATACCTGTGCAGTATACTTGACTATAACAACAGGTAATATACCATACCTGTGCAGTATACCTTGCCACAACAACAGGTAATATATCATACCTGTGCAGTATACTTGACTATAACAACAGGTAATATACCATACCTGTGCAGTATACTTGACTATAACAACAGGTAATATACCATACCTGTGCAGTATACCTTGCCACAACAACAGGTAATATATCATACCTGTGCAGTATAC